GAGGAGAGGCAGCAAGCCGAAGCACTGACACAACAAATGGCCGCTGAGAGAGAAAACACAGAATCAACACTGAGGCAGCTCACCGAAGAGAAAGCCCAGCTCCTCACCAACCTTGATCTTCTCTGCGAGCAGAAATCTCAACTTGAGGCTCAACTCAGTGAGCTGGCAAGCAAGCTGAATCAAGCAGTGGAGGACAAACTTCAGCTGGAAGAAACCAATGATCAACTGATGGAAAAGAATGTGGCGCTGAAGTCCAGTGAAGCCCTGCTGATGGAGGAGAAGCAGCGGATCCAAGCAAGCGAAGGGATGCGTGATAACAAGCTGGCTTCTCTGCAAGAGGAAAAGGAACATATCCAAAACCTCCTCCAGTCCTCTGAACAGGAGTGTCACCTGATGAAGGATCAACTTCAAATGACAGAAAAGCGGATGGAGGAGAACAGAGCCAGGTATCGTTATTACAGTTCTTTTTATTTTAACTGGTTAACACAGTATAGTACAATGAATTGTCCCAGCATTTGCAAATAGTACTGTACTTCCCTTGCATGTGGGAAAGGAGAGCCAGTTGCAGATGAACTTTTCAACTATTTGTTGAATGGCAATGGTGAACAGTTGAACACAAACACAGTCGGCACACTTGAGCAAGTGCGCCTCTTGGCATTGCTCATGCCCAGACACTCACATCCAGACTCACAGTCAAATGCAACTGTCAGATATGTGTTGTATTTTCTCTCCGTATGCTTGCATTTTCTTTGTGTTGAAATATTTTAACAATGTTTAAAATGTGCTGTTTAATTAATTTTTTAGAAAGTATCCATATTGAAAATGAATTAGATGGCAAATTTTTACCTAATGCGGGTGGATCTGGAATGTATCCTGACGAAACGGGGGGTTTCTGTGTCAGTGTTTCTGCTCTTCTGTTTATGTTTAAATAACCATTGCAGCTTGATTGTGTTTCAGGAACCAGCAGTTTGAAACAGAGCAGGCTGAACTGCACCAGAAGTTGTCATGCTTACAACAAGAGCTGAGTGTATTAAAGCACCAGTATGACTTGTTGCTGGAGCAAGTGGGCCAACAAAACCATCTCATACAGCAGCTCCAACGGAGCCCCCAAGAAAACTTGAGCCCCGCAGAGCCTGAAGAGGCAGACATGACTGGTGAGTGCAAACAAATGCTAATGTCATAAGGGCTTTTTATTTGAACCATGACACATTGAGATTGACTTATCTGTAATGGTAATTCCAGCGGAGGCAGCAAGCCACATTGATGTTGAAGCCACTGTGGAACCAGCATTAAATTCATTGACAGGAAATGAGGCCAAATTGGAGGAACTGTCAATTCAACCTGATGAGTCCCCCAGGTATGGCAACATTTCATTTGAACTACTCAAAAATACACATTTAGGAGCAATACAATGAATCTTCCTTTAATCTTGTAGTGAAACGGAACAAATCCTTGAGCCGGATGTAATCCAACCAGAGATGATCGAGGAACATGTGGAAGAAGACAGAGATGTATGTATCGAAGTTAGACACCAAATGCAGATAATCGACGGGAAACTATTTGATCAGGTATAAGAGAATTGTTTTTGATTGAGTTCTCCCTTGACCAGGTTGCTGATAAATGTTTTTTTTT